AAGTCTAAAACAAACATAACAAAAATCGCTTGGACTTCTCTATAGTTGTAAAGAGAATAGAAAATAAAGAAAACAGTAACAAAATAGCCAACCACAAGATGAAATATTTAGACATAAACATATCTAGAGACACAAAAGAGTATTTAAAAACATGATAGCTCTCTGCTCCCACCCGTTTACTGTTTGAGTTCCTAGGAGGGGTGAGGACAGGTGGGGCAAAACCACAGGGCTGCACAGTTTGGTGGGTAGAGGGAGGGTTGAACGAAATGGGAAGGATCTGGGTGAAAAGACAGGAAAATGACGGGCAAGGTTTCATAAAACCTAATGCACGAGATTGACTGTATGAAGAAAACATAATATGAATGAATAATATGAAACACACAAAAGAAAGGCTGTTTTTCTGATTTCATTACATATAATTTGTCTGTAATGAAAAAAACAACATAAGAACATATGCACACTCTAAACAAACACCCAAATCAAACAAACAACCCTAAAACAAGCAACAAAGAGACTTAGATAAATGGAAGAATAGACTATATTTGTGAATGCTGCTAAGTGCTACTGAGTCAAGTTTGACTCATAGCGACCCTTAGATCTGAAACCTGTCTTAACTTGTATCATCCTCACAATCTCTGACACAATCAAGCCCACTGATAAGACACCACAGAGAGAAAGTTTCTAATGGGGACCTTCCCAGGTTGCCTAGCTGACCAGCTGGATCTTAAAGTGAAAATCTAACCAGGTGGAGGAGACCTGTATCCTAGTGCTGAGAAACCTGCCTGCCCACATCTACAAAACTCTCCTGTCAAATTTTCACACATGTCCTGTCTGCACCTTCAAACACCCAGAATGATGATCATCTTTTTTGCTTCAAACTCAGCCAACAAAGGACAGAACTCTGTGGGAAAGCTGTAAGATAGAACTTGAGAGAATACATCCTCTTAAAAGTAATGAAACACTGTTTTCCAAAGCTGCTACTGAATAAATCACTCTGTTATCTTGCCTCTCAGATTTTTTCCTTAATGTTCATGTGTTGTTGTTGTTATGTGCCGTCGAGTCGCCTGCGACTCATAGTGACCCTATGTACAACAGCCCTAAAGTCCGCTCTGTCCTGTGCCAATTGCACTGTCTCTAACACTCCCATCCCAATTATCCCAGTCACTGAATCAATCCACCTCATAGAGGGGCTTCCTTCCTGCGCTGTCCTTCCACCCTCCCAAGCATGATGTCCCTCTCTAAGGACCGGTCTTTCCTCACAACATGTCCAAAGTATGTTAGACGGAGCCTCAGAATCCTTGCCTCCAAGGAGCCACCCGGTTTAACCCTTTCCAGGACAAATCTGTTTGTTTTCCTAGCAGTCCATGGTATTCTCAATACTCATCTCCAGCACCACAGCTCAAAGGCATCAATTCTCCTCCTATCCTCCTTGGTCATTGTCCAACTCTCTGGTGCATAACAGGTGATTACGAAGACCATGGACTGTATCAGACGCACCTTAGTCTCCAAAGAGACACCATTGCTCTTCAGCACTTTGGAGAGGTTCCTAACAGCAGACTTTCCCATGGCAATGCACCTTTTAATTTCCTGGCTGCTGGTGCCAAGACTGTTGACTATGGAGCCAAGCAGACAAAAGCTGTGTACAATCTCAATCTCTTCACCATCCATCCTGATGCTGCCAATTGGTCCAGTGGTGAGAATCTTTGTCTTCTTGACATTGAGCCTCAATCCATATTGGAGGCTGCAGTCCTTGACGCTTCAGGTCCTCCTCAGTTTTAGCAAGCAGGGTTGTGTCATCCGCATAACGCAGATTGTTGATAAATCGTCCACCAATCTTGACCCCACATTTCTCCTCACAGAGCCCAGTCTCTCGGATAAACTGTTCTGCATATAGGTTGAAAAGGTATGGAGATAGGATGCATCCCTGGTGTACGCCCTTCCCAATTTTGAACCATGCAGTGTTCCCTTGCTCTGTTCTGATGACTGCCTCCTGGTCCAAGTATAGGTTTCACATTAGAACGATCAAGTGTTCTGGGATTCCCATTCTTCTCAGAGTCAGCCACAGTTTGTTATGATCTACACAGTCAAATGCCTTTGCATAGTCAATGAAACACAGATAGACATTCCTCTGGTATTCCCTGCTTCCCGCCAAGATCGATCTAACATCAGCTACAATATCTCTAGTACCACGACCCCTTCTGAAACCAGCCTGGACTTGAGTGAGGGTTATTCTGGAAGGTCTAGGTTTTCCAAGAAAGGTCTGAAGTTTAAATAACGGCTACAGACAATCAGGTACTTTACTAAAAATTGCTTATAGTCTCTCTAAATAGAAAGACATACTTTTGGTGATTTTAAGCAAATCAGTGTTTTGTTTATTTTTTTAAATCATGACAGTAGGATATTTACCAAATGGATGATGATACTTGCCTGCCAATTTTACTCCAGAGGAACTGCTATTTATATTTCATACAGTTTCTTTTGTTTTTTTTTTATAGAAGGGAGTTCTTGTAGCCTGGTGGGTAATGAGTGGTGCTACCAACCCCAAAAGTACCTCCATGACAATGAACAACAGTAACTTTTATTAGAAATACTTTATTGCATACTTACCATTCACTAAACAAACTTGATAGCATAGTCCATAGCAAGTTTCACTGCTAAACCAAAAATTGAAACTCTGGTGTCTCAATCCCACAAGTGGCTACACTGGAGAAAGACAGACAGTCTCCTTCTATTGTGGTATGTTGTTATGTACTGTCAAGTCAGAAATGGAACCAGCCTATACCTGAACCTCCTGTGAGATTTCAGAGGTAGTAAGTCTCATTGGAAGAGACTACCTATCTTTCTCCCACAGAGAAGTTGGTGGATTGAACTACATGTCTTTGGTTTGGCAGCACGGGTTTTTACCACTAGGCCATCAGACCTTCTCTGTTGTGATCTACAGCCTTGGAAACCTTATGTAGGGTCACCTTGATTTGAAACCAATTCCACTGCAGTGAGTTTATTTATTTTAAATTATTTTGTGTGTACTGTTGAATCGGATCCAGCTGGTACAGGAAGAGATTGCCCCTCCTTCTCCAGCAGAGCATCTGGTGTATTTGAACAGCATTCCTTAAGCATTGCAGTGAAGCTTCTTGCCACTAAGTCACCAGTGCTCCCCTGCAGTGAATTTTTGAGACTGTACTGCAGACATTTAAATGCTTTTGATCAATTATTGAGCAGAACATTCCAAAATCTTTGCCTTGATGAAATGGAGAAGATAGGGATGGTTAAGCTAAATGAAATTCCAAAGAGGTGAAGGGGATCAACATGCACATAAATGAAGGAAAAATATTTTAGGAAACTGATGCTGTGGAAAGGGTTCTGCAGAGTATGGATTGTTGACTTCCAACCTTGACCATGAACCTCCACTTAACATCCCTGTTCTGAATTTACTCTTAACTCAGCATCCTAGCCTTTATCCACATCCTGATACTGAGCCTGATTCTCATCCTTATCCTCACTGATCTTGCACTGATTTTCTTCACTCTGAGCCTAATTCTGACTCTGACACACAGCTTGACCTTTACCCAGACCATCTTCTGTTCATGTCCTGTAAGCTTGACACTGATTCTGACTCTGGCTTTCACCATGTTCAGTATTCCTGATCCTAATTATTATTTAGGTCTCGGGGTTCACTCTCATTCTTACGATGAGTCTGGCAATAACTGAACCTCCTTCTGAACCCAATCATAACCAAATCTAAGTCTGATGGTGAAATACCGTTGAATCTGACCCTAACTCAGCAAACTATTATCACTGACCTTGACCCTGAACCTGATGTTCTACCAGACCCTGAATGCCAGATTCACTCTTACTTGGACATTGATCCTCACAATGATCTTGGTCTCACAATAACTCAGCTTGGTTTTAGTAATAATTAGCACAAACAGACTAATCATGAATCTGAACTGGACTATCATCCCTTTCCTGAGCTTCAGCCTCAATATGAACCTGACCCCAATTCTTACTGACCTGCACCTGGTTTCAACTTAAACCGAACCACATGTTCCCAACTGTTTATTTGTGATGAGTGAAAATTTACAAATAAATCAAACTTTTTTTCCCCCCAGTGAATCATTCAAATTTTATTTTCTGGTATATAATATATATTTAGAATTAGTTAATTATGTTGTCTAGTTACTCCATATTGCATAATGTCTTTCCTTTACCCAATTTGATGAATGTCTATTATTTAGTTAATTGTTACTCCCTTTTATTCTCCTTCCTAACTAATTCTATGTGTAATCCTTTCCTTAGCTTTTCATAATTAACTCTTTGCTCTTGACTTGGAACCATGTGTAGCTGATCCTCCAGTAGGTTTTAAAAGATTGTAAATTTCACAGAAGGAGATACCCCCATCTCCTTCTTTAATCTACCAGAACATCTGGTAGATTAAAAAACCAGAGTATCCTCTTTTATAATAGTGGTTTTATACAATTATTGCCCTTTTGTAAATGACTTCTCTGACTTAGCATAATTTCCTCTAGATTCATCCATAATATCCAGCATTTCACAAATTACTATTCTTTAGTGCTGCATAATACTTCTGGATACAATACTATGTTTTCTTAAGTATTCATTCCTTTATGAACATTTGAGTCATTCCCGTATATTTGCTATTGGAAATAATGCTGCAATAAACATACACGGACATAGTAAAACAAACAAACAAACAAACAAACAGTTAAAAGAACTCCCTAAAATGAGTTCCTCTTTGTACGTCATCAATTACATATTATTATAGCAAAAACAAGATAATTATTAAAATGATAAAAATGAAACTTCTCACTACTAAAGATTTTTAATTTTTTTTAACTACTAAAGATTTTAAAATATTTATTACATTATCTATTATTAAGATCACTTCTTCCACTGGTAATGTGAAGGAAAAAGAATTTAAATTTAATTAATGTATTTATATCTTTAGATTGATTAATGACACACAGGAAATCATGTCTTACCTTCTGAGCATACAAAGCACCAGCTGACATTAACGTGCTCATGATTTCGACAACCACGTCTAGGGGTAAAGTGATTAGGGCAGATGATACTATTAGATGCAAGTATCTTTGACCCTGCAGCCAGGCAAAAGTCGTTAGCATGGTATGCCACAGGACAGCGAACACAGCGCATCAGGCGACCTGGAAATATGAGAAAGCATAAAAACTAGGGAACAAAAAACCAAAACAATCCAAAGATATTAAATATAAGAATGTTAACTTGTCATACCAATCTATTTGATAACAGAGAAAACATTAGAAATGAAAGAAAGCACAAGTAGGTTAAATACTCAACCTAACACAAAAGCTTCATATGGGAACTATTTGATAAAGAGGTAAAAGAAGTCAGATGCCATAATTATATGGGGCCACTGTCTCCATGGAAAGTTCTATCCAAACCAAGATACTAATTCATGGGAAACCTGGAATCAGGCACACACTAAAAAAGGCGAATGCTCTTCTCTAGTCCTCTGAAATGAAATACACCTTCTAATAACTTTACCACCTAAGAATCATTACCAAACTAACTAAAAGCAATCTAGGCTTTCAATAGAAAAAGACAGTTGGTAGGATATATAGCAGTTTTAATCAAGCATGTTAAAACTACTACATTCATAAACGGATGAGACCTATTTAAAAAAACACCCAAAAACTCCAACCAAAACCACTGCTGTCAAATCAATTTGACTCATAGTGACCCTGTAGTACAAAGTGGAAACACTCCCTAGTTTTGAAGGCTATGGCTTGCCTCTGGAAACTCTATGTACGAACAGTGCTCAGGCTGTTCGTTCATAGGGTCGCTATGAGTCGTCTACGACTCGACGGCATTAAACAATAATAACAATGACGACGACCAAGAGAGAGCTACGTTGGCCTAGTGGAAGGAAGCTGTGCAACCAAGCCGAAGGTGGGTGATTGTCATCTGTGGCCCTCAGCCAGGTTCAAATTATCTTCCTGTCAAACATTCTTCTAGGTGGTATAGCACTGGTCTGTGCGTTGCTGTTCAGAGGTAACTCGTGGTTGCTGTGATGCTGAAGTCTGTGACAGTGCTGTGCCAATCGTGGTAATGGGCACCCATGGTGGACAGTGTTGGCTGGAGCTTCCCGACTATATCAAGCCTGGAAGCAGGAGCGGCATCCACTTCCAAAATGGCTTGCCTCTGGAAACTCTATGTACAAACAGTGCTCAGGCTGTTCGTTCATAGGGTCACTATGAGTCATCTACAACTCGACGGCATTAAACAACAACAACAACATATAATCGTTATGAAGCTGTCACACTATTCTTTTGTAGAGTGGCTGAAGGGTTTGGAACACTTTCAGTTAGCAGCTCAAGACTTAACTATAACGTCACCAGGACTCATGAATGAGACCTAAAGGGGGGAAAAATTACTTTATAGAAGGTACAATCAATCAGATTATGAGAAATACATGGCAAATTTTTGCATGCTCTTTCTTCTAGTGCACAGGAAGAAGTTCTCTGACATACAACTACTAACTACTATAGACACAATATTTTGGCCTTTACAACAATTAGAAATAAATCATCATTTGACCATTAGGAGAAAGATGGGCAATATTTCCCCCCAGTGAATTTCAAGCATCTGTGTGTGTGCATGCATGCCAATGCACTTTAATGGAATGGGGTAAAAAACCCTGACTATAAACCTACAGAGAAATTTCAACATTTTTTTTTATCTACACCTGTAGCTAGCTTTGGAAATCTTGAGTCTCAAACTATGGAGCAGAAAATGTATCCAGGGACAGGAGTTTCCATTTTGAAAAATGAAACAAATCAACCCAAACAAAAACCTCTGTTCAAGTAAGACATGCATTTTTTAATGTCATCAGGTCTGAAAACAGTTGAAATGTCCAATGAAAAAGAAAACACATCAGTTTATTCATCTAGAGCTTTTCCATCTCTATCCTGTCTCTCTGACTCCACACTATCAATGTAAAAGAAGCAGTAAGAAAAGGACATGTATTAAAGAACTTTTATAAATTAAACATCTTATGAAACCCAAACTACTATGTGTCACCTGTTTCCAAGGCTACTACTAACTAGACCACTATACTCTTCTCTCTTACACACAGATTTGGTATCTTAGGTTATCTGTTAAAAGAGAGAAGATAAAGCTACTTGCCAGACAGCAATTCAACACAGTTATTGACAGCGAAACCAAGATCCAACAATTAGTCTACATAGAACTCATACCTTTAGATGCAGAAACATTGGCTGGATTAGCAGCATGACAGGTTATACAGATGTGTAGAGAGCACCGAAAGCCTTTGTTCTGCATGACAGTGGGTGGGTACTTTTGAACACACTCCTCATGATAAAATTTTCCACACAGGGGTAAAAGGCACCTTTTAACATCTTCCCCACTCTGTTTACATACAAAACAGGTATGGATCCCTGGGATAAAGAAATAAAGTAACATTTAAAACTAATGGATCTTTTAGATTTATCAAGCTGACGTCTGAACTCACAGAAAAATCTGAGCAATATAAACGGGACAGTCTTTGGTTATATGCTGCATTCATGACAAAAGGAAGGACACAGACATAGAGAGAGAGAGACACACACACACACATACACACACACACCCATCTCTCCCCACAAAATGACTCTGAAATTAACTCCACCTTTGCAACAAGTTTATTGAAAAAGTGAAGAAAAGACACACAAGGTCAAAAGTTACCATAAGGATACACTCTATTAGATTTAAAATGTGGGAAATTCAACAGAAAAAGTAAATATAAAATAAAGTTATCATTTTACTTGCTAATACAGAGAAAATGTTACAAATAAAAGTTTCATCAGAATTATGGACCTTATACAACCAACTCAACATGAAATTTTCATGTAGGAACACTGTGGTATCTAAACTTTCATTCAAAATGTCTTTCTAGATAATAACAAACTGTCTATAAAGTAAGATAAAGCTGCTGACAGATTCAACTCAGTCGTAAGAATGTTTGTTTTCTTAATACTGAGATACAATCCATATTGAAGGCTGTTTTCTTTGATCTTCTTCTATAGTCCTTCTCACTTTCAGCAAGTAAGGTTGTGTCATCTGCATAATGAAGGTTAATGAAGAGTCTTCCTGATTTTTATGCCACATTCTTCTTTACGGAGTCCAGCTTCTCAGATAATTTACTCAGCATACAGTTTAAATAGGTATATGAGAAGATTACAACTCTGAATTTTAACAACCCTTAATTTTTAAACAATGTAGAATTCTCTCGTACTTTTCATACAAAAGCCTCTTGGTTTAGGTATAGGTTTTGCATGAGCACAAGTAAGTGCTCTGGGATTCCCATTTTTCTCAAATGCCAGCCACAACTTGTTATGATCCACAGAGTGAAATGCCTTTGCATAGTCAATAAGGCACAAATAGGCATTCTTCTGGTATTTCTTTACTTCAGCCAAAATCCATCTGATATCAGCAGTGATTATCTCTAGGGCCATAGTCTCCTCTAAATCCTGCTTGAACTTCTGGCTGTTCGCTACATATGTACCATTTTAGCTATTTTGGGATGATTTTCAGCAGTATTTTGCTGGATATTATATTAACTAGCACTGAGATTTCACATGACCTACATGCTAGTTTTCTTCTTGGGACACCTGCATTCAACCAGTTTCTACAGTCACATGGTCAATTCTCTGAAAAGTCTGAGTCTCTGGGAGACCTTCTATTGAATCACCAATCCCAAGGGACACAGAAGCCTGCAAACTGAACAAAGAAGGGGCTGTTGATGTCAGAAATATTGGACTCACACACAAATCTAGCATCTGGGACAATGTTGACAAACAATATTGATTATCCCAAAATAATTCAATGACGGAGATAGATCATCAGGAGCATAAAACACAAGGTTGTATGTATGTGAATAGGAATACACACTCCCCACCCACCCCCCACCCTTAAATATGTGTTTCATTGTCTATCAATTTTTCCAAAGAGTGCTTAAAAGTGGAATGAATTACTGGTACATAAACATTGATGACTGCCAAAAATACTATGCTAAGTGAAAAAAGTCATACACAGAAGACTGCATACTATTAAGATTGCATTTATACAAAATCCCAGAAAAGAAAAAAAAAATCTCATCCTCTGAAACAGAAAGCAGATTTGTGGCTGCATGGAGCTGGGACAGGGTAAAGGCAGTAGCTTATAGTCCATGTTTTCTAATGATTTGCTCAGCATACTGACTGAAGTCATACAGTATGAAGAAAGGATACAACCTTGATGTACTTTTGTCATTCTTCTCAATTATACCTATGGCCTATTACAATCCACAGAGTCAAATGTTTTTATACACTAAAAAAACGTACAACAACATGTTTTTGGTATTCTCTTTTTATAGCCAAGATTCATCAGACACAAGCAATGATTTCCTCTGTTCCATGACCTGCTTTGGCCCCAGCTTGAATGAAAGTACTGTTGCAACTGCATTTTTAAATAATTTTCAAGATGTGACAGTAATATTATTTGACAATTTCCACATTCTGTTAGATCACCTGTACAGCTTTAACTTCCTTCACTACTACTCATTCTTTATCATAGATTACTTCCTGAAATGGTTCCCGGGTTAGCCAATTCTTTTTGGTACATTAATTCTGTGTATTCTTCCATCTTCTTTTAATGCTTGTACACAGAATCCTCCAGTATTGCACACTAGAGTTTTGAATTTGTTTTCACTTCTTAAAATACATCTTCTCTCTACCTGCCATTTGAAATCCATTTATCTCTTTTACTTCAGCATTTCTTTCTTCTATTTCATCCTCTCTATCCTATTGCACTTTTCATAGTCTATTCTGACAAGCATTTGTCTTTTCTTTCCCTGCTGTCTCTGTAATGACCATTTTCTTTTTTCCTAGAGAATATCTTTGTCATCCCACAACTCCTGTGGTCTTTGATCAATAGTAATCAAAGCCTCAAATCTATTCCTGAGATGGTTTTAAAACTGCTGTAATTTTCTCCAACTTTAGTGTGAACTTGCTCATGAGTAACTGACAATGTGTTGCACAGCCAGCTCTGGCTTTGTTTTCACCATGGATACTGAGCTTGTCCAACAACTTTTCCAAAAATATATTCAATCAGATCATCAAATAGGCACATTCATGTAACCACAACTGAGATCACAAAACAAAAATATTGGCAGAAATCCCAAAGTCCTTAGATGGTGCACCTTCTCAGTATTGACTATCATGGCTAGAATAATGTCCCAAAATATAACAAGTGATTGAAAAAGACCATGGCTTAAATCTGGTGTACCTTTTGTTTCTCAAACTGACATCACTCCTCCTCAAAAAGTTTAATAAGTCTCTGATTACAGACTTTCCCAATGGAATATATCTCCTGATCTCCTGTTAGTAACAAAGGTGTGGACTATGGATCCGAGTAAAATGAAATAGTTGACAGTTTCAATCTTTTCTCAGTCTAGTATGTAGTATGACGATGCCTACTAGTTTAGCTGTGGTAATTCTGATTTCCTTCATATTGAGATATAATCCATATTGACAGCTGTGTCTTTGATCTTCTGCATTAGGCAGTTCAGTATAACTTTGCACAAGCAAGGTTGTGCCATATGTGTAATGTGGGCTGTTCAGGAGTCTTCCTTCAATCCTGATGTCACATTCTTCTTCAGAATACAGTTCTTAAATAATTTTCTCCATACTTATTCGGAACACATTGAGTTAAGTATGGAGAAAAGATAAGATTCTAACATTTTTCTTAATATTAAATCATGTGGTTTTCCACTGTTCTCTTCACACAATGGCCTCTTAGTACAGGTTTCTTAAGAACACAATTGGGTGTTCTGGGATTCTCATTATTCTTTTTTTTTTTTTTTTAAATTTTTTTTTATTTCATTATTTTTTGTGTGTACCGTCAAATCAGATCTGACTGGTACAGGAGGACATTGTTCCTCCTTCTCGAGCAGAGCATCTGGTGGATTTGAATTGTGCACCTCTGAACTTGCAGTTGCAGCTTCTTGATTCTCATTATTCTTAACAAAAGCCATAATTTGTTAAGATCTACATAGTCAAATGCCTTTGCACAGTCAATAATGGACAAATAAGCATTCATCTTGTATTTTTTTGCATTCAGTTAGGATCTATGTGACATCAGCAGTGCTTTATCTAGTGCCACAGCATCTTCTAAATGTAGCTTGAACATCTGTCAGCTATCTTTCTATGGTTCTGTTTTTCAATGATTTTAAGCAGTAATTTGCTTGATTTTGATATTAATATTCTTCAATAATTTTCCAAATTCTATGGGGTCACCTTTCTGAAGAATAGGAAGAATGGATCTCTTCCAGTCAGCCAGCTCTTCTCTAAATTTCTTGGCACAGACAGGTTAAGTATGTCCAAGGGCTTCAATACTCATTTGAAACATGTCATTTGGTATCCTATCTATTTCTGAGGACTTAATTTTTGCCAATGCCTTCAGTGCAGCTTCAACTTGATCCTTCATTACCACTGGCTCTTGATCAAATGGTACTTCCTAAAATATTTCCGTGTCAGCCAATTATTTTTTGTATAGTACTTCTGTGTATTTCTTCCATCTTTTCTTGATGATTGCTGGGTCATTCAAGATTTTGCCCACGGCATTTCAAAGTACTGCAACTTGAGGCTTGAACATGTTTTTTAGTTCATTCAGCTTGAGAAAGGGCAAGCAAATTCTTCCCATTTTAATCTCTAATTCCAACGCTCTACACATTGTTGTAATACTTTGTTTCTGAAGACACCCTTTGAAATTTTCAGTTCATCTCTTTGACTTCAGCATTTCTTCCTTTTATTTTGGCTTGCTGACACACTGGTCCAATTTTCAGTCTCATATGACATTCATTCTGGCTTTTTCTTTCTCCCCTGTCTTTGTAATCATCTTTTGCTCTCTTCACGAATGATACCTTAATGTCATCCCAGAACTCATTTGGACTTTGATCATTATTCGTATTCAATGCTTTAATCCTATCTGTAATATGATTTTTAAATTCAGATGGGTAGCCTCAAGACCTTATTTCAGTTCTCATGGACTTGCTGTCATTTTCTTTGGCTTCAGTTTGAACTTACACAAAAGTGTAAATCATGTAAGTCAAGTGATGGTCTGTTGCAGTCAGCACCTGGTCTGGTTTTGACTGCTGATACTGAGCTCCCCCAAAGACTCCATCCACCGATAAAGTCATTATGATTCCTATGTAGTCCACCTGGTGAGGTCTATGTGCAAACTCTCAGTTTGTTTCTTTTAAAAAAGTATTTGCAATAAATAAAGTACTGAATGTTCTAAATTCTATCATTCCTTTTATAGCCTCATTTCTCCCACTGAGCCTATGCTTTCTTCCTACCATTCCTTCCTCATTGTTTCTAACTTCTGTATTCCAGTAACCAATTACGATTAATGCATCCTGATTGTATGTCTGGTCCACTTTGGACTGCAAAATTTGATAAAAATACTCGATTTCCTCCTCTTTAGCTATAGATGTGTATATCTGACTAATAGTTTGACTAACAGTATTAACAGCTTTTCCTCCTATACGCATGAATATAATATCATAACATTGTTTTTTAAGGATAGAACTTGAAATGGTCCTTTTAACTATGACTGTAACACCATTCTTCTTCCATTTTTCATTCCTAGCACAGTAGATCAAATGATTGTCTGATTCAAAGTGGCCAAAGCCAGTCTACCTTATCTTACTAATGACTAAGAGGACTGATGGATATGTATTCCATTTAATTTTTCACAACTTGTAGTTTTTCAACATTCATAGTCTCTATATTCCATGTTCCAACTATTAAAGGAGGTTAGCACCTGCTTTTCTTCATTATGATTGATTCCCAATCTGGGTTCTACCTCTAATAGTATCACTATCCATGTTCCTTTACTGTTTATAGGCTTTTCTAAAGCCTACAATGTAAGAAGCAGATGGCCAATGCTGATGCTTAGTATGTCTTCATCTGGTCTATTGAAACATATTTACTATGGGGGATACAGAGCCAAGAGGTTCGAGGCTGAGGTACACAATAGGATAGCCGTCTTGACTGTATTTTGTTATTAATCTGAGTTATTAACCTTTAAACTGCCTTAATATGGTTTGTGTGGTTTATCACATTGGATTTTGGCCCAACTCAAGTAGTAAGGTTAGTGTTTATGTGAGTCGAAGGAAGCATGGGAACGTAGGGGACACATCTGACTGGGAATTGGTTTTATGTTACTGATGTTATAGGTAAAAATAGTTTCCCTGCTTAAGTTGGTAAAGGCCAGATATGGCACTCCCAACGTGGTCCTTGATCTTTTTACAGGATCCTTCTGATAACTGACATATTGGTGGCTTTCTGGAACACAACAACTTACAAGTTACCTCAGCACAGCAAACTGACAGATAAGTGCTGCACTAACAAGAACCATGTTAAACAAGCAACACATACTTAAGCTATAAAGTAATTAGCAATAAGCAGATAATTCCCTCAATACAGCAAAATACCAGATACGACTCAGTTTAGGAAGCTCCTTGTCTTGAAAAGCAAACAAGGACTGGCAATGGAAGGAAGTATTTTCAACTCCACACACCTTCTCTTTGGGCCCTCTGGCCTAGTATATACGAAGCATCAGGTTTGCAGATGTAACACCCTCACATAGGACAGTATCTTGCTATGCCAGTCTTGCGTGTCAGATAGAAGGCTCCAACATCAACCAGAGCAAAAGTGTGTCTTGCAGCCACTTGCCTGTGATGGGTCCATAATTTTTGTATGTTTAATGTGCTGTCAGTGCAGACACTAAGCTTCATGAAAATGGTCCAGGAGCTTCCTCTGGAACTGTATAGAGAAAAGCCTTACCCTAAAGCTGGTGTCTGGGACTTAGAATTGGAGCATAAGAACATAAGAAGGTCAAAACAAAGGGAAGAAATGCTAAACAGAAGCTGGAAAAGTACAGCTATAAACAAAGCAAGACATTAATAACAAAATCTGTAAATAGTTGAAGTTAGAAAGTGTAAAGGGAAGAACAAGCTGAAGTTGTAATACTAAAAGATCACATGGGCAAGTCACTGTACCAAAAAAATCGGTCAACTCTGAATCATTTCAAGAAGTAGTATATGATCCCATCAACAAACGAATGAATAGAGAAGGTGCGGTATATGGAATACTACGCTGCATTGAAAACCAAGGAACTCATGCAGTATTATTCAAAATGGGTGACCCTGGAGGACATTATGCTCAGTCAACTATCTCAGTCACAAAAGGATAAATACTGCATGGTACCACTGCTGTAGAAAGGGACAGACATCAGGGTTAGGGTAAGACTGAGGAAAACTGGATAAATTATGTATACTGCATTGAAACAGATGAGAGACAGAACAATTTAAAAGTGATATAAGATAGGGTATTATGGTTATCACAAGAGTCCAGAATCAAGGTGGCATAGTGGAGTGTACTTGGGCTGGTGGGGGAGGGGGTGTGTGCAGGGAGATTGTATACCAATGAAAGAATTTTTCTTTTACTTTTCAAAGAGAGGAGTGAACTGGGGAGAGGGGGAAGGTTGGGCAGGGAGTAACAATGAATGAGTGAAAATACAAAATCTCTGTAAATGTTCATTAAAATTAATAAAATAAAACAAAATAAAAAAGTAGTATATGATCAAGAATTAATAGCTCCAGGAATTGATGAAGTACTAATTCATATTTTTCAACAAAAAGATGCAGCCTGGATATATTTACTAGCCTAAACCATAAAATCTGGAAGATAGCTAGTTAGCCAACTGACTGGAGAATATCTAGATTTAAAACAAAAGGGAAAGTTAAATGAATCTTCAAATTACTGAATAGAATTACTGACATCATATCCAAGTAAAGTCTTGCTGAGGATTATTAAAAAAATAGAGGAAACAGCTTGTGGACAGGGAACTGTCAGAAATTCAATCTCCATTCAGAAGAGGCCAGGGAATAAGGTGTATCATTGCTGGTATCAGATGGATCTTGGAAAGTAAAGAATACCAGAAAGATGCTTTTTTGCCTATTACTGAGTGTGCAACGGCACTTGACTATTTGGACAAAAACAAAATAAAAGACTATAATAGAGAAGAATGGGAATTTTAAAAAAAGGTAATTTCTATTCATGAGAAACTTATATCTATTGTCTAAGAAACTACTGTGTCAATAGACAACTTCAACGTTTAAAATCAGAAAAGGTGAACGAACATCAAGTTTGTAACCATTATACATTCCTATTCAATCTGTATGCTGAGCAAATCATTTGAGAAGCTATACTATATAAAGAAGAAACATGGCATCATGGAGAAAAACCCATCAACAACCTGTGCTATGCAGATGACACAACCTTGTTCACAAAAAGTGTCAAAGACTTGAAGCACTAACTGAAGAAGATCAAAGACAACAGACATCAATACAGATTATGTTGCAACATCAAAAATCTTCCCCAATGGGAGGAGGGTAGAGAGAATAGTGCAACAATGAATGAGTGGAAGCCCAAAATCTCTGTAAATGTTTATGAAAATTAATAAAATATAATTATAGAAAAAAAAAAATCTTCCCCAACAGACAACATCATCATGATAGAGGAGGAAAGACTGAAGTCATCAACGACTTCATGCCTGTCAAAGACATCTCTAATGTGCTACAAAAGCAAGGGGTTATCAGTTTAAAGACTTAAGGTGGGCCTGATTAAAGGCACTGAATTTCCAACTCTTTTGTATGAGTCTCAAATTTGAACAATGGATCAAGAAGACAGATGAAAAATCGATGCCTCTGAATAGTGGTGTTTGAGAAGAGTACTTACTATACAAACCGCAAAATATTAAAAGAAATAAATATAACTAGGTGCATCTTTATTTCCCATACTTTGGGTTATTTTAGTAGGAGAATTCAGTCCTTGGAGAAAGACGTCATGCTCAGGAAGGTAGAAATCAGTGTAAGGGAGAACAACTCTTATCAGGTGGATTCATACAGTGACTATAATAAAGGACTACAATATAGCAGAGGAGCACTGGTGGACTAGTGAGAGAGAGCTGTGCTGCCAACCCAAAAGGTAGGTGATTCAAATCTACTAGCTGATTTCTCTGTGGGCAAACGATCTACTCCAGTACAATTTATAGCCTCTGAAAACTCACTGGAGGGTGGGGTGGGATCGGAGGGGTGTCACTTAACGAGTTGGTTCCAACTCACCTGCACATAGTAACACGTATTACTGAGAATCTGAGGATGGTGTAAGATATGGCATCATTATGATTTGTTGTTCATAGGGTCATTATGAGCTACCATCACTTTAACATGTTGACACCTAACAAGAACTGTATGAAGAGAGATCTTGTGGCATAGTCTGTAGGGATCTGCCATTTTGAACCCTCCTGTGTATCACCTAAAGAAATAGGAGGACTTTCCTCTGGTTCGATTTATAGTCTCTGGAAAAGGCTGAAGGGTAAGCAAGTTTTTACTTGAAAGCAATGAGCTCTAAACTATACAAGAATGAATCTGTTTATTAAAGCCATCTACTTGTCTTATTTTCAACCAGTTGTTCATGAAGTTGCTAAAAGGTGAAGTCAAATCACTGACACCCAATAACAACATACTGTTACTATTCACATGCTTTTCTCACAGCAGGAGCCACACTAACTCTATTACTGTGTCTACAGTAACTGAACTAGTAACAAAAAAAAAAATAAAAAAATTAAAAAAATATAAAAAATCAGGCAGTCCTTGCTGTCCGGTAAGAATTAATTCATAGCTGACACTCCAGTGGGTTTTGAAAAGCTGTAAACTGCAGAGGTGAAGAAAGCTATCTTTCTCCCTTGGAACAGTCAGATGGTGGATTCAAACAATTTACATTTTTTGTTGGCAGTGCAACTCATTACTATTAGGCCACTAGACCACCTTGTCACAAAAAAACCCATAAAATTCATGTTTATTAGCATAACTTTCTCTATGTACTTTACCTGTGCGACATTCATTGCAGATAAATTTCCCTCTTGGCATCTCTGTTAACCCAAGGCACTCTAGGTGGAAAGCCCCACAGCACTGAGCTTCACATAACAGGAGTTCACCCAGTTTCTCACAGTTCTGTTAAGAGAAACAGAAGATTCAGCTGTAGAAAAGATGTTTCTAAAAATTCCAAGATTAAGATTTTCATAAGGACAAAGATTAACATGCTTTGTCAGAAATCTAATCATGCACTGTGACAGGTATGGCAAGGTCTGTGGCCTCTAATGGTTCTTTAGTCTAGGTGTAAAATATACAATTGAATGAATAAGCAAAAAGGAAGATGTAGACAGTGGTAAAATAGCTACTTTGGGTCAGGTGATTATCAATGGCCTCTGAGAGTGAACTCTTAATGATAAACCTGTGAGAGACCTGAGGGAAAGACCAGGAAGTACAGATGGGTAAGAGCCAGGAAATCCGTGGCATGCTCAAGAACGGCACAGACAGACAGTATCAGTGGAATAAGGTGAACAAATGTGAAAAAATTAGTAGAAGAGAGGTGATAAAGGTCAAGGACCTAATGAAACCGCCTAACAGACACAGGGTTTTAGACTTCATTCTAATTACAAAGGACATCATTATACAGCTGGATCAAAAGAAGGCTCAAATCAAGTACTAGTTTGACTACTCTGGCTGCTACAAGCAAAATGTGTTCAGGAGTACAAAGGCAGAAATTGTTATGTTGTTGTTAGGTGCCACTGAGTATGACTCACAATGACCCTGTGAACAAAAGATCTAAACCCTATTCCATCCTGTACCATTCTCATACCTTCTGACACTCAACAGCCATTGCTGCAATCACCATGTCAATCCACTTGGCTGAGGGTTTTTCTCTCCTTTGCTGACCCTCCATCCCTCCCAGCAGCATGTCCTTCTCCAAGTATGTGACACAAAGCCTTTTCATTCCTGTCTCTAAAGAGCATTCTGGCTGCACCCTCTTCAAGAATGATTCTGTCTGTGTTCTCTTGGCCATCTGTGGGATGTTTAGTGCTCTTCTCCAACACCACAGCTCAAAGGCCTCAATTCTTTTTCTGTCAGCTTTATTCACTGTCCAGCTCTCAGATGCATAGTAAGTAATCTGAAAGACTATGGTCTGAACCAGACACACCTCAGTCCTCAAACTGACATCATTACTCCTCAAATGGTCCCTAATTGCAGATTTTCCTAGTGCAGAGAAAAAAATAGGGTTGCTGGAACGGATCAAGTCACATACAGCACTAATTTAGATCTGGGTCATAACAATCCTCAAAGAATTCTGATTACAGCTGGAAAGCCTCTTGCAAATTGTCAAGTAGTCTCAGAAAAATCACCATTAATGATAATCTGTCCTGGGAAAGGAGTTTAGAAAGAAAAACCTAGGTCTCTTCTTTATATTCCGAACATTTGTATTACTTATTGATCACTCTAAAACTCCACTGTAATAAAAAAGTTATTTGTGGAAAACATCTTTTACTTATTCTAGAAGATATAAAAGGGAGAAGGAAATCCTACAAATTGTTAATTTTTAAGAACCCAAAAATGGAAATTAGATCAAATATCAAAATATCAAAGATGCAATATACAAATGGGCAGGAGAAATGTGACAGAAGGGCCAATGAGGTGGCATGGGATTTACCCTGAAGAGACCATAGCTGACATCCTAGCAGATATATGCACACCCATGTTTATTGCAGTTTTGTTCACAATAGCAAGGAGTTGGAAACAACCTAAGTGCCCATCAACAAACGAATGGCTAGAGAAGCTGTGGTATATTCACACAATGGAATACTATGCTGCATTAAAAAACAAGGAACTCATGCAATATTATTCAAAATGGTTGACTCTGGAGAACATTATGCTGAGTGAAATATCCCAGTCACAAAAGGACAAATATTACATGATGCCACTGTTGTAGAATGGGACTGTCCTTGGGGTTGGGGAGAGACTGAGTAAGATGGGTTCAATAATGTATACTGCATTGAAACAAAGGAGGGAGAAAACGGTTTAAAAGAGATATATGACTAGGTATTTCTGTCATCACAGGAGTCTAGAGCGAGGGCTACATGGTGGAGGGGACCTGGGGGAGGGTTTGTAAAACAATGAAAGAATCCTTTCTTTTACTTTTCCATAATTTTTGACTCATGTACTTATAACTTGTTAGTCAAATTTGTGTCTTCTAGGTTGCAACACCCCCATGATACATCTTCAAGGATATGAACACGTACGGCCAAGCACAATCAATAAGAGTGCATCTAAATTCCAAAATCAATCTCCATAATAGTCTATGTGTTTCCTACTGCCAAAGGGGCCCTTTAGAGTAGTGAGAGAAGATCTTCACCCTGAAACCCACAGCGTCCCTTTTCAGCAGGAAGTAGCTAAGAGAATACGCCATCCCCTTTTCCTTATGAATCAGGGTGAAGTCTCTCTCAGGGAGGAGTGATAGGGAATGGCAAAGGACACACTGACAAAGGAGATTAATCAGAACTGACTTTGACAAGCACTGTGGCAATTGGACAATTAAAAGAGACATTCGGATGGCGGGGAAGAAGAACAAACTGGGGAGGAGGGTAGAGAGAATGGTGCAGCAATGAAGGAATGAAAACCCAAAATCCCTGTAAATGTTCATTAAAACTAATGAAATTTAATAATAAAAATAAATAAATAAATAAAACGAACATAACTGCAATAACAACTTGGAGATCAAGTTTATAAATTTTGGCCTCCTATAACTGCTGTTTGTCACAAATATTATATAGTTTGCTTTGTAAATTTAGACTATTGTAAGTTTACACCTATAATAAACAAATTCAATTTTATAATTTAAACTGAAAAATCACAATGACAAAATTTTCAAATTATCAAACGTGATGCTGAAGACTGTGACAGTGATATGCCAATCGTGGTAATGGGCACCCATGGTGGACAGTGTTGGCTGGAGATTCTCGACTAAATCAAGCCTGGAAGCAGGAGCGGCATTCACTTCCGAAATGGCTTGCCTCCGGAAACTCTATGTACGAACATTGCTCAGGCTGTTCGTTCATAGGGTCGCTATGAGTCGTCTACGACTCGACAGCATCAAACAGCAACAACAACATGGACCAAAAAACCCTTCCAATTCACTGATGTCAAGTAGATTCGCACTTATTGTGATCATCCTTCAAGTTTGAGAGGCTGTAAAATGATAATGACTTGGAAATTTTTATAGGAGACGCTCCATCTTTCTCCAGTGGAGCAGCTAGTGGATTTGAGCAGTCAAGCTTTCAGCTAAGAGTTAAATACATAACCCCCATCTCTGTGTAAAACATACAGAAACTGAAATTGATTTGACTTACAGCAATCTTAACCAGGTTCATGAGGCTAGAAAGTTTTATAAGAGGAGACTGCCAATCGTTTATGCTCCCACAGAGAGCCTATAGGTTTGAATTGCCAACCTAAAGTTTGATAACAGTACACATCTTTAAATGATATGGACTAAATTATTCATTTCATCTTTTAATTTGGGATACTTGAGATTTAAGACAGTTTTAGTGATAGTTACATCAGACAAAACAGCTATAAGCTGAGACCTAATGAGGCCAAAGGGCATGGGTTTACCTAATCTTTAAGTGTGTTATGTCAATAAATTTTGTAGAATATATTTACAACCTGATTATTTTCATTAATAGACTAACAGTTTCTGAAGTCCAGATCATGTGTGAGAAATGATCTGAACATGACCAGCCCTGTTCATGTAATGATGAAACTGCCCTGACCACAATAATATATTCCAGATTTAGTGTTAATAAAATATCGTTTCAATTAAAAAATAATCCAGTATTTTCAACTATGTCAAGTTTTAAGTAAAAGTCCTAAAAAGACAACATATTAAAGTGTTAATTGATTTTAAAATCACAAAAGGGGATTTTTTTTCTTAAGCAATAAAACAGAATCATTTCTCACACAAAAGCATTAAAACATAATGCTTAATACTTCAATTACCAAGAGCTTGGGCATGAATTCTGTGGTTTTTTTTAGGAGCACAAGACAAGTTATTTATACTCTGTATGCTTTAGTTTCTGTATATGTAAAAACGGGATATTAGTACTCTATCTTATGAAGGCTTAAGGTGATGATTTGATAACATAACATTACATTTCCTTAGTAATCCTAAAAATCCAAAACTAAACTGTGTGACAGGTTCTTACCTCCTGAGACTTGCTTCATTCTTGCTTTAATCATTTGCTACAAAAGCAGGGATCAACATTAAAAGAGTTCTCTTGCTTTCTCTTAAAAGATATGACTCTATTATATGCAGGATAACAAACATTCAGCCAAAATCCAAGTGACTTAAGCATTCTCTACCTGACAAACATTCTCCTTGAGTGCAGCTCCTCCACCTCGTTCACCCTGCATTCTTTTAGCCACAGGCATCCCATGGTCATGCTCCGTGCCCTCTTCAACAGCTTCCTTGGGGCTCGCTGTGGTCCTGTGTGACATCATTTCTCCCTTTTAGAGGGGGAAAAAATATTATGTCCCATATCTGTATTATTTATTGGTGTTTCTTCCATTTAACCCCCTCCCTCTGGGCTGCTATTTGTCTAGTCATTAAGCACTTACAGATGTTCAGCCAATCACGTGGGCGGACTGCATGCAATGTTAGTTCTAACCCTGCTGTGATTGGGCGGGTAGTGGGCGCCTCATGCCCTGCCACTAACTGCTCTGAGGCTGTTCCACTGGAACTTTCTGAGCTGTTCCATTTTAAGGTTTCACTAAGGGAGAGAAAACATTCTTAAGTTTATTTGATTACTTATTTGCCCTTCCAAGATCAGTGTTTCCTAAATAATGCTCCCCCTTGGAACTTCTATTCAAATTGTCCTGGAAAGAAATATTCTATTATGTGTGATTCTGACTTGATGTGTTCTAATTCTTATTAGCCCTATTTTGGAAATAGTGTCAATGACTGCAGCAAGGAAATGGTTTTAAGTTTATCTATTTCTTGAAGGTTAATGTTATAAAATATTACACTAATATTAAGCAGTTAATGATCTCAAGAAATAAGCAAATGATTTATTCTACTAATCACAATAAGTTCTAGTTTTGAAGGGCAGTTTATTCAAACAGATTTTAGAGTTACTTGAGAATCGGGTGTTCTGGTTTGATGAACAAGTTTATTCAATGATCAACAATTATATCTATAATATGACACCTTGGAAAATGGATCTGATCTTTTTAAAAGGTCTTATCTACACTTGCCATGTGTGCTTTATTTTCACTAAGTTCAGGGATTTCCTTTTATCCAGAATTCCTTATAGTTATTTAATACCTAAAAGAACACTACTCTTAAGTAAACTCAAGGGAAAGAGGGATATAGGATCTACTGTGAAAAGTAGCTTTATTTTTTAAGATTAGAATATTAGGAACTGAGTAGTACCTCTGAGCTTATAGGTTCCTTTGATAGGTTGTCATTTTTCAATTTTTTACATTGTATCTTCGCTGTAATAAGTCTCGGACGTCTTCTCTTTCTTGGTTTATCAAATATCTTTGTTGTACCTATGACAGGAAAACAGGAATTGCTTACTACCATTTTCAAATAAAGGGGTATCATAGAATTAAGAAATGTTAAGAGTAAAAGTCAACATTAACAATGCACTTTGCAGACAAAGAAAACACACACACTGAGGAAAACACTGACTAATTAGCTGGGGTTAAAGTCTGACTTACACAGATAATACATAAAAAGCTTACTTAATGTATATGACCGTTTGCACTCTTCCTGGATGATACCCTTGATATCCTCCTACAACTAATCTGGCCTTTGCTCATTAGTGTTCAAAGCCTCAAACCTGTTCCTGAGATGGTTCTGAAATTCAGGTGAGATAGACTCAAAGTCATATTTTGGTTGCCTTGGATTTGGTTTAATTTTCCTGAGCTTCAGCTTGAATTTGCTATATGAGTAGTTGGTGGTCTGTTCCACAATCAGATCCTGGCCTAGTTTTCACAGCTGATTATTGAGCTTCTCCAGCGGTTCTTTCCACAGATGTAATCGATCTGATTCCTATGCATACCATCAGGTGAAATCCAGGTATATAACCTGCGTTTATGTCTCTTAAAAAATGTATTTGCTATAAATAAGTCATTGATTGTGCAAAATTCGATCATTCTCTCTCCAGCTCCATTTCTGTCATCGAGTCCATGTTTTCCGACTACTGATTCTTCTTCTCTGTTCCCAACTTTTACATTCCAGTCACCCATTATTATCAATCAATGCATCTTGATTGCATGTTCGATCAATCTCTGATTGTAAAGGTTGGTAAAAATCTACTATCTCCTCTTCCTTGGCTCTGGTTGTTGGTGCATATATTTGAATGATAGTGGTATTCACTGGACTTCCTTGTATGCCCAAAATGGATGTCAGAAGATACTCTGAAAATTGCACCGGAGCGCAGAGAAGCCAAAGCACAAGGAAGAATTCAAGATACTAAAGAGTTGAATAGAAGATTTCAAAAGGCAGCACGGGATGACAAAACAAAATATTACAATGAAATGTCCAAGGAGTTGGAGTCAGAAAATCAAAAGGGCCGAACTCGCTCAGCATATCTTAAGCTCAAGGAACTGAAGAATAAATTCAAATCTCAAGTTGCTATAATCAAGGATGTTTTCGGCAGAATGTTAAATGATCCAGGAGGAATTAAAAGAAGATGGAAGGAATATACTGAGTCACTGTATCGAAAGGAATTGGAAGACACAGAAGAATTTCATGAAACAACATATGAGCAAGAGCTTATGGTGATGAAAGAAGAATTTCAGGCTGCTTTGAAGGAAATGGCAAAAAATAAGGCTCCAGGAATAGATGGTATACCAATTGACATATTTCAGTTAACAGATGCTGCCCTGGACGAGCTCACCAAGTTGTGCCAAGAAATCTGGAGAAAAACCACTTGGCCAACTGACTGGAAGAGATCGATTTTTGTTCCTATCCCAAAGAAAGGTGAGCCAACAGAATGTGGAAACTACAGAACAATCTCACTGATTTCACATGCAAGCAAGATTTTACTGAAGATTATCCAAAAACGACTGGAACAGCACATCAACAGAGAGCTACCAGAAGTCCAGGCTGGGTTTAGAAGGGGTCGTGGTACTAGGGATATTGTAGCTGATGTTAGATGGATCTTGGCTGAAAGCAGGGAATACCAGAGGAATGTCTATCTGTGTTTCATTGACTATGCAAAGGCATTTGACTGTGTAGATCATAACAAACTATGGCTGACTCTGAGAAGAATGGGAATCCCAGAACACTTGATCGTTCTAATGTGAAACATATACTTGGACTAGGAGACAGTCGTCAGAACAGAGCAAGGGAACACTGCATGGTTCAAAATTGGGAAGGGCGTACGCCAGGGATGCATCCTATCTCCATACCTTTTCAACCTATATGCAGAACAGATTATCCGGGAGGCTGGGGTCTATGAGGAGAAATGTGGGGTCAAGATTGGTGGACGATTTATCAACAATTTGCGTTATGCAGATGACACAACCCTGCTTGCTGAAACTGAAGAGGACCTGAAGCACCTGCTGCAGAGTGTCAAGGACTGCAGCCTCCAATATGGATTGAGGCTCAATGTCAAGAAGACAAAGATTCTCACCACTGGACCAATTGGCAGCATCAGGATGGATGGTGAAGAGATTGAGATTGTACACAGCTTTAGTTTGCTTGGCTCCACAGTCAACAGTCTTGGCACCAGCAACCAGGAAATTAAAAGGTGCATTGCCATGGGAAAGTCAGCTGTTAGGGACCTCTCCAAAGTACTGAAGAGCAATGGTGTCTCTCTGCAGACTAAGGTGCGTCTGATACAGGCCATAGTCTTCGCAATCACCTGTTATGCATCAGAGAGTTGGACAATGACCAAGGAGGATAGAAGGAGAACTGATGCCTTTGAGCTTTGGTGCTGGAGAAGAGTATTGAGGGTACCTTGGACTGCTAGGAAAACAAACAGATTCATCCTGGAAAGGGTCAAACCGGGCTGCTCCTTGGAGGCAAGGATTCTGAGGCTCTATCTAACATACTCTGGACATGTTGTGAGGAGAGACAGGTCCCTGGAGAAGGACATCATGCTTGGGAGGGTGAAGGGACAGCGCAGGAGACGAAGGCCCTCTATGAGGTGGACTGATTCAGTGGCTGGGATAATTGGGATGGGAGTGTCAGAGACAGTGGAATTGGCACAGGACAGAGCAGAATTTATGGCTGTTGTACATAGGGTCGCTATGAGTCACAAGCGACTCGACGGCACATAACAACAACAACAATGTATATGACTGAAAATAATCCCAATTTATATACAGAAATGGACATGTAGCCTCTCAGGAAAAAAGTTAATTGAATTTTGATTGAAACTAATGTCTTACTCATTACTACTATCTTTCAGGATAAGGAATTTGTATTTGGAGAAGGGTAGGTTTTGTGACCATGCCTATAACTTCATGAATATTCACGGAATGGAAAGAGTAATCTTAAGGATCAAAGATAGCCTTAAGGCATTATGACTTAAAATTTTTACATGTTATCACTTAGGTTTTGTTTTGTTTTTTTCAATAAAAATAATACAATAAATGGAATTTCAATAAATATTTTTGAAAATAAAGTTACTTAACTAATTTCATTTTATATGATAAAAATGATAGACTCCTGATTCCTCAAAGGGCATTAATAACCTCTAGACACACTGGAACTGAACTCACTAGTAAGGAAAAGATATAATTACTGCCATTTAAGAGTATACAAATATATGGCTTAAGAATTAAGATGAAGAATTAAACTATGAAGATCTGTCCAGATGAGGAAGAGGAGAAAGTTCATTCCTCAATAGAGAGTGGTCTAAAAAATATTTATGCAATCTTACTAAATAACTTAAACATTTCAGCAATATCAAATGAATGCCAGGGCTCTTCTAACAAAATTTAGAAAAATTCCAGTTTTTCTGTTATATTCTGTTACTCACTTTTCCATTCTTTTTGCTACAGAAACAAAAGGAACTTAAAAAAAAAGTTCACAAAATGCTTTAAGATATTTACCCTAGGTATCAGACAACCTTAAAGCTGCTTTTGTTCCGCCTGACCCATATAGAAAGCCATGATATAAAAGAGTTACATGATTACAGAGTAAACACTAAAATTCCTCATAATGTAAAATATGTAGACAAAATTGACAAAGGATAAAGTTTAGGCTGAAGGTTTTATAAGATTAGAAAGAAGTATGACTGTTATTTGAAAAGAGTTGTTATACGCAAGCAAATAAACATGAGATTACAATTGTTCATAAGATTAAAATAACCTATTACCAGATGCTAAAAAACCTAATAGGTTACAATAAGAGTACTGTCAATACCAACACACTAAGCACAGTTAATCTAACGGAATTAAATCCTGAAAATACAGGGTAATGATGGGTATAGGTCAAGGATGATTCATTTTATAGAACACAATGTATGGGAATGATTATCTGAAACATAATGTGAACGAAGCATAGTGTGAAAAACAATGTATACGAACTTGGTAAGCAAATCAAGGTAAAATAAAAATTAAAAGAAAAAATGGTTCCAAGTATCTGTTACATAAATTTGAATCACATATATAACCACCCATACACACAGCATCCCATCTAAAACTACATGAAATGTGATTTTCCCATGACGTTCCTCCCTAGTAAGTTCAAAGAATTAATAGGGTGTGGATAACAAAACTATAGAAATTAATTTGATCACAGACCCCAAACCTGTCACTAGCTTTTTATGTTTCTTCTACTAAAAAGACATGCTATCCTATCTTTGTCATTTCTTAGTAGGAACAGAGATAATGACAAATAAAGAAATAACTTAGTAGAGAAGAGATGCTCTTCTCTTTTATTATATGTTCTTGAATTAAGGGCTGCTTACCCTTTCTATCGTTCCTATAAAGGAGCTCTGGTGACCTAGCGGTAAGAGGCTGTGCTGCAATCCAAAAACTTCAAATCGAGCACTTCAAATCCAGCTGTTTCATGGGAGAAGGATGGCTCATCTCTTCCTGTGCAATTTACTCCCTCTGAAAACCCAAAGGACGGTCAGCTCTGAGTCAACTCCAGGTTGACGGCACACGACAATAAGCTTTCCTAATTTTTTTTTTATTTCATTATTTTTTGTGTGTGTACCGTCAAATCAGATCTGATTGATACAGGAGGAGATTGTTCTTCCTTCTCCAGCAGAGCATCTGGTGGATTCGAACCGTGTACCTCTGAGATTGCAGTGCAGCTTCTTGCCACTAGGCCACCAGAGCTCGCCAACAATAAGCTTTCCTATACAAAGCCTGTGACTCGGCACTTAACAACAACAAACATACAAAGCTTTAGTGGATTAGTTGTAAGGAGTTAACACTGGCAATTCAGTTGCTCAAATCCAACAGCTCCCACATGACAATTTCCTCCCATGATTAAATGTGTCTAAAAATCCACGAGAGGGTCAGCTATGGGTTGGTTCTGACCAGATGGTACTAACAACAATATCCTTGCCATGGGCAAAACCAACATCAGCAACTGTTTAAAAACAACTGAAAACATTTCATTACCCTAATACAAGCCTAAGTCCATGAACAGAGAGTTTAGGAGCATCAACTTCCTAAGCAGTCACAAATCTACAAAGAATTTATAGTTGACATGTAGTTTCAAGAAACATTTTTGCACCAAGGATTTATGTTTGTCAAAGAATTGGTAACCTTAGTGGTCTAATTTTTCTGTTGCTTGACTATTTTTCACCATTATTCTGTATTACATATTTTGATGTTGTAGTGGTGGTGGTGAAATGCTGTTGAAGTGTTTGCAATTCATAGCGACCCTGTCCCTGAAGCCATTTTAAATCTCAAAAATACTCACCTTCACCAAACTCTTTAGTGTGAGTTGAAGCACATGATTCCGTGATGTCATTTTCCATGTAACCAGTTTCATAACACTATAAATAAAATGGAACACCTTTAATAGTAGTATAAAAACCAAATTTTATGTTATGTAGTCCCAAACACCCTAAACTGTTGTCATATTCAAGAAATCTCTGGTTTACGACAATTAAAAGTGTGTGAAAAGCTGATTGAATAGTGTATGAAATTAACCATATTAATCATGGTAATTAGTATCAACAACAAGTAGTATTACAAAACAAGAAGCTATCAATGGTTATTAAAAAAATCAATAAATTATAAAACTTCAGGCAAATAAAAAGTAAAAAGGTAAGAAATAATGTGTTTGAAATGATAAGATATACAAAAGTGTTGATTACATGCTGCAATTAATCACTGGTAACTGTTCGCTGTTGAGTCGAGCATGACTCATAGCGACATTATGAACAACTAAGGTTATTTAAAAAAGTGAATGAATGACTCAATTAATTTGAAATTACAGTAGTACTAAAAAAATTAAAATGTCTGAATGAAAATTCCATAGGATTTGTGAACTCTCAAATAAGCAAAGGAGAGAAAAAGAAAACGAGCAAGGTGGGGAGAAAGGTGAAGGCAGAGTGACAAAAGTTTACCGACAGATTCTCAATACATAAATGATCTGACAAAATGTTGTTCCGAATTAAGTGGAAGACAAAGGGGATGTACTCAGCAAAACCAAATCAGTTCTGTCCTGTATTTTAAATTCCATTTCCTAAAATTGTTTAAAATCACTATATTTTTCAGCTTCATTCAACTGATAAAGTTATATTAAACATGTAACGCCCTTCCAACATATGTACCAAATTACCTAAATGGAACTACTAAAATTTAATAAAGAACACTTATACTTCAGCTTTTTCCAGTGCCTCAATTTAAGAGATTTTCTAGACTGCAACATAAAAGACACAAAAAATGAGACATCATGTTCACTTTTCCTAGTGCTTTAGTGCTTTGAAATTTTTCTTTATCTAAGGAAAATCATAAAATGTCAGATTTATATTGATGTAGGATTTATATTTTGAACTCTCTCAACTATTTGCTGTCTTCTGACGTCAGGATATTTATGAGAGTACATCTTTAATAAGCAACATCTCAAAACTCTTTCACATTGCTCAAACATCTAATTGGAGGAAACTACCCATCTTTCACCCAAAGAGCAGCTGGTGAATCACATTTGCTAGAGACACATAGCCTTTGGTTAATAACTTAACACTCTGTAGACAAGAACATCAGCTCCTTATCATGTAGGGAGAGTAATTTTCATAGCTTTTCCATATATTGCACACTCAATCAAAATGTGCTCTGAAAGAACCAGGTATTTATATTGGGTTCCACTTTTCTTCCATTCAAAAGACCTATGCTATCACCTTTTATCCATTCCAGTGATTAAATCATCTACTGAGACTCATGGCTCTAAAGTGATCTATGGAAAAACAAAGGGAGATTTCAAGCCAGAGTTCTCAGGGGTCACATTTAGGGAACATAAAACAAGTATGGGGACTACTTTGCTAATTTGATGTGAACAGACGGTAATATACAATGTGTATTGTGTGTGTGTATTTAAAATAGTGTTGTGGACCTTGGGGCTTTAAAATCTTTTTCTTTGACTAGTATGTACAGAATAATACAGAAAATTACGAATATGTCATAATAAAGAAAATTAAAAATATCTTTGAATATACCTAAATGAAAGAATAGTTATTTCTGAGGGCCTTTTCTATACATAGAGAGCTCTATCTGGTGGCCAGGTCTTTAGGGATTTGAAAGGCGAATCCAAAGGCCAACCTTTTGGGCAGTTCTAATTTTCTAGCTTCAAGGAAAAAGATCAGTGATCTCCAGTCTTGGAAATTCATGGAGGGTCAGCTATTAGTTGGTTCCAACTCAATGGCAGTAGGTTTCTCTCTATATATGTATTTATTTCTGGGAAAACTGGAAATATAATTTTCGATTCTGTGCTGGAGAAGAGTATTATGTGTACCATGGACTGCAAAGAAAAAAAACAGGTTCATCCTTGAAAGGTTAAAGGGGGCTGCTCCTTGGAGGCAAGGATTCTGAAGCTTCGACTGACATACTTTGGACATGTTGTAAGGAGGGACCCATCCTTGGAGAGGGACATCATGCTTGGGACGGTGGAGGGACAGGACAGCTCAAGAGGGGATGACCCTCTATGAGGTGGATTGATTCCGTGACTGGGGTAATCAGGATGGGTGTATCGGAGACAGTGAGATTGGCACAGGACAGAGAAGAGTTTAGGGCTGTTGTACACGCAAGCGACTAGATGGCACATAACATCAACAACAACATAGTAAAACAAACAATACATAGTAAAACAAACAATAGTAAAAACAAACAAACAAACAAAAAACCCCACCATTAAAGATGGATTTCTATTTAAAAAAAAAAATTAGCTACATCTTTGAGTTACCCACTATTATTGGCTATATGAATTTGTTCTATGCCAAGAAAATATCTTCTTCTAGGGAAATTTTAACATTCATTACCATGACTATAAAACAAAATTTGTTGTTACGTGCAACCCTAAGAACAGGAGACTTTAATCTTCCCCCATGCAGTACCATTGTCACAATCTCAGCTATGCCTGAACCCACTGTAAACAGTCACTGAAAACAAAATTTTGTTGGCACAAAAAGCAATATAAAGAATGTTGTTCTTACAAGTTTCCAAAGTGAGAGAACAAAATTTTAAAAAATACAGAGAATTTCTAAATAGTCAACATATATGAACTATAAGAATAACTAAATCTTTATTGGTGTCATAATCAATGCAAATCAAAATAATAATGAGGCAAATTATAGCATCCAGTGATATGGCACGGGGGAATCTCTTAGCCAAACTCATACACAGATTTGCAGGATTTTTATAAAAAAGTAGCATCAATATATTTTAGTAATTTTGCATAATCAATAACTTATTCATTGCAAATACGTTTTTTAAGAGATATAAACGCAGGTTATATACATGGATTTCACCTGATAGTTTCCGTAGGAATCAGACTGATTACATCTGCGGAAAGAAACGCTGGAGAAGTTCAATATCAGCTGTGAAAAGTAGGCTAGGCGTTGATTGTGGAACAGACCACCAACTACTCATATGCAAATTCAAGCTGAAGCTGATGAAAATTAAACAAGTCCAGGGGAACCAAAATATGACTTTGAGCCTATCCCACCTGAATTTCAGAACCAGCTCAGGAACAGGTTTGAGGCCGTGAACACTAATTATCAAAGACCAGATGAGCTGTGGGAGGATATCAAGGGTATCATCCAGGAAGAGTACAAACGGTCATTGCAAAGACAGAAGAGGATGAGAAGACCAATCTGAAAATTGCACTGGAGCGCAGAGAACTCAAAGCAGAGGGAAGAATTCAAGATACTAAAGAGTTGAATAAAAGATTTCAAAAGGCAGCATGGGATGACAAAGTAAAATATTACAATGAAATGTGCAAGGAGTTGGAGTCAGAAAATCAAAAGGGCCAAACTCACTCAGTATTTCTGAAGCTCAAGGAACTGAAGAATCTCGAGTTACTATAATCAAGGATGCTTTAGGCAGAATATTAAATGATCCACGAAGTATTAAAAGAAGATGAAAGGAATATACTGAGTCACTGTATGGAAAAGAGTTCGCAGACACAGAAGAATTTAATGAAACAACATATGAGCAAGAACCTATGGTGATGAAGGAAGAATTTCAACCTGCTTTGAAGGAAATAGCAAAAATAAGGTCCCAGGGATAGATGGTATACCAGTTGACATATTTCAGCTAACAGATGATGCCCTGGACATGCTAACCAAGTTGTGCCAAGAAATCTGGAGAACAACCACTTGGACAACTTGACTGGAAGAGATCTGTATTTGTTCCCATCCCAAACAAGGGTGACCCAACAGAGTGTAGAAACTATAGAACAATATCATTAATTTCACGTGCAAGCAAGATTCTACTGAAGATTATCCAAAACCAACTGGAACAGCACATCAGCAGAGAACTGCCAGAAGTCCAGGCTGGGTTTAGAAGGGGTCGTGGTACTAGGGACATTGTAGCTAATGCTAGATGGATCTATTGTTGTTATGTGCTGTCAAGTCACCTGCGACTCATAGTGACCCTATATACAATAGCACTGAAGCCAGTCTCATTGACCCAAAACACCTACCCCCATTGCCCTAGTTACTATGTCAATCTATCTCATCTGGGGTCTTCCTCTCCTACGTTGTCCTTCTAACCTTCCGAGCAAGATGTCCTTCTCCAAGAATTGGTCCCTCCTGGCCACACGCACAAAGTACGTAAGACAGAGCTTCAACATCCTAGACTCCAAGGAGAAACTTGGTTTCACCCTCTCCAACACAAACCTGCTTTTTGTCTCGGCAGACCCATGGTATGTTCAAGTCCCTTCTTCAGCATTACAATTTGAAGGCATGAATTCTTATTCTGTCATCCTTAGTTATTGTCCATCTCTCTGATGCTAGCAAGTAACTGCGAAAACCATGGCCTGGATTATGCACACCTTAGTCTCTAAACTGATGCCATAGCTTCTCAATACGCTGGAGAGGTCCCTTAGATATTTTACTATATGTGTATATTTGAGTAAGTATTTATGATGTCCAAGAAATAATATATGGATATTACAGGAAAGAAATGTTGTCTCTGGATAATGGAGAAATGACTGGAAAGAAGAACAAGAACATTTCCTATGTTAATAGAAAAATACTTTGTTTTGGGTGATAATTCCACAGGTATATGTTCTTGTTAGGTGCCATCATGTCAACTACAACTCATAGTGACATTATGAACAATGGATCTGAACCTTCCTTATTCTGTGTCCCTCTCACAATCTCTGATATATGCTCTAATCCACTATGTCACTCCATCTTGCAGGGGCCTTCCACTCTTTCACTGATCCTCAACCTTTCTCAGCATGATGTCCACTGTCAAACACTCACCCCTCTTGACAATATGCCCAAAGTATGTGAGACACAAGTTGCAACATCCTTGACTGTAAGGAGCA